TTTTTTTTTGCGACACCACATTTGATGGCGCGCTGTGAACAATCTGGTTTGTTTTTTTTTTTGCGACACCACATTTGATGGCGCGCTGTGAACAATCTGGTAATCTGGTAAGAAGGCCGCTCTGAGGGCACCCCGCCCGCTGATCGCTGTCATCCGACGGGCAGCACCGATTAGAACAAGTCCTCCTCGCGGCGCGCAGTGGACCATCTCCTCCCCCCCCCACCGCGGCCAATGCCGCTTAAGAGGTAGGATTTGAAAATCCTCGATTTTTTTTACTGTTTATATTATTTTTCCCTCGAATTTTTGTTGAGAAACATGCGAATACAAAGCAGAATTGAAACAAATTGAAAAATAGAAAACACCACAAACAAAAGGGACGGAAAAAAAAAAAAAAAAAAAAAACTGAACAATCGAAAAAAAACTCGTAGGATAAGCAGACCGACAAGATGTCGATGATCTATTAATAGCTCTGTACATTAGCCATCACAGGCACTCGTTTAGAACGCAGTCTGAACGAGGCACACGTGTAATGAAGTGACCCTTCACGCGTGTGTGCGACAATCGCGTGCGTGCGAAGGGATTGTTACGAGCGGCATGGCATCGATTGCGACCTCCGCGTGCGTGCGACAATCGCGTGCGTGCGACAATCGCGAGCGACAATCGAATTGGCGAAAATAACAAGTGAGAGGATGTCGTCAAAATCGTGTGCGACAAGGGACAATCGAGGCGTCCAACAATAGTGGCGTGCGACAATCGCGACGTGACGTGCGACAATCGCGGGGCGTGCGACAATGGACAAACAAAGGAATCTATCGCTGGGCGACAACGCGTGCGACAACAATCGCGCCATCCAACAATGGTGGCGTGCGACACTCGCGGCGTGCGACAATCGAATTTGACAAGGCCATCGAAATCACACTATTCCGACAAGGCAATCGACCATCGGGGGAGGTCGGTTCGCTCGACCAATCCCGCAGGAGAGGTGGCGGGAAAAAGGCAGAAGGCGGGAAGCACAATCAAATCCGTGCCGTTTCACTTCACCTCACACTACCTACCTACCACTACCTACTTTTTTTTTTTTTTTTTTTTTTTTTTTACCCTACCTATCACTCTTACTAATCATAGTCATATTACGGGGAACCCCGTTGCAGCCAGAACAGTGTTCACGAGAGAACATGCGGGGGCTGCTCCCCACCTGCAGGTGGGCGATACCACCCAGGGAACAGCCAGTAGCATCAGGGACTATAATGCCATCAGGACCAATCCCTCAGGTGGTGGTCCCCCCCCCTCAGGTGGTGGTCCCCGCCCTCTACGAACATCACCAGACTCTGCTCAATGTCGATCGGCGGATGCAGCGGTCTATATCTCTAGGTGGCGGGCGCCAAGCATGCCCAGGAAGGAAGGTACATGAGGAGGCCAATGGAGGATTGAACCCACGACCTTCTGAATGCCACTTGCAAGCCTTACCAACTGAGCTAGGTAGGCCTCTCTCCCTTCCTTTCTTTCTTTTTTTTTTACTTCGTTAAAACGTAAAACTTAAAACCTTATTTTCCCTCTTTCTCAACCACAAATCCGCGACCGCAAATCGAGCACAGATATCCGCGCCCACAAATCAAACACAGGTATCCTCGACCACAATCCACTGTTACAAAAAAAAAAAAAAAAAAAAAAAAAA